CCCAGACAAGTTTTTAAACTTACGGGGCCATTGTATATTTATTTTACCTTTTGTTTTATTATTAAATATTATATTGTAGATAAGTTAATGGTGAAATAAATATTATTATTATTATTATTATTAAATGGGGTGCGCTTCTTGATTTTTTATTTTGATAAAAAAAATTGAGGATGATCTTTTAGGTTTCAAATATAAAAATTCGTTGCCGTTTTAATTTTTGGATTCTTTACTTTTAATCGGCACCCTTTAGAAATCTGAAATCGTGTCAATTTCTTACTCTCTTATAGTGGTCCAGAACTTTTTTTCTGTGACAAATATTGAAATGATTTTAATTTTTTTTTACTGTTAAGTAAGTGTGTTTTCGATATAAATTATTATTATCCAATTAGTTAATCTCACAAAAGAATGGTAAACCACTAAAGATTCATGATAATTTGCCAATTTTAGTGATTTTTGTCTGGCTCCTGTGCCTATTCTACTAAATCTAGAAAGTTATTTCTTTTCAGGAATCAAGTACTTATACAATAGAAAACGTAACTATTATTTTAAGTTTCTAGACTGAAAAGATGAAGGTGGGGACTACATTTCCTGAAAGTTTCAGATTTTTATTTTTTCCTCAACATAATGATTTCTGAGGGCAAAATTGGCTAATTTTGAAAATTATCAAGTTTCAATAATTTTTTTAATAAAGAAAATAATAGTCTAGAAACTTAATAATAGTTACGTTTTCTATTGTATAAGAACTTGATACCTGAAAAAAAGCAACTTTCTAGATTTAGCAGAATAGGCACAGGAGCCAGACAAAAATTACAAAAATTGGCAAATTATTACGCCACAGAAAAAAAGTTTTAGCCTCTTGTAAGAGAGTAAGAAAATGACACGATTTTAGGGTTCTAAAGGGTGCCGATTAAAAATAAAGCAACTAAAAATTAAAACGGCAACGGTTTTTCATATATGATACCTAAAAGATCATTCTCAATTTTTTTCATTAAAATATAAAATCATGCAGTGCACTTTTAAATTCATTTTTGGTGTTTTCATTTGGATTGACTCTATAGAGTATATATATATATATATATATATATATATATATATATATATATATATATATATATATATATATATATATATATATATATATATATATATATATATATATATATGTATATATATATATATATGTATAAAGTATGTAGTCAATTTTTTATTTAAAAATTACTATAGATTGCCGCAAAGAAATGGTTGGCGGGCCGCAGTTTGATTATGGCAACTGTAAACCATTGTTATATGAAAATGAACTACTTTGTTTACTTACAAGACTGATGAGGGGTCATCCATAAATCTCATGACGCTGAAGCGCGCTGGTGTGGGGAAGGGAGGGTTTAAAAAACCGTCACGAGTTGTCACGCCCCATGAAAAAAGGTTTATTAAAACGTCACGTAACAAAGTTAATCAAATTAAATTGCATATTTTTAGACAGATTATTACATCTTCACATTCTCTTACGAGGGAGGTGAAGGGTCAATTTTGATCATTTTTAGGGTCACGAAATTTATGGAGGGTTCCTGAAGTTTTTTTTTATGATTTGACAATTTTCTACACGATGTTTTCTTAAATTCCTTTTTTATTCAAATAAGAAACGGAGTGGAGCAAGACCTTTAAAATGATGTATCAGTTGCCCTATCATATCTATTAAAATTTTATAATTTACCATTTGATGGTCCATCCAAAAATAAGTCGACATAATTTTTTCCTCAATTATTTTTTCTAAAAAGCTTCCTTAAGTAGATACAGCCATACGTTCAATTTTAAAAATCTTTTTTTGTCATAATTCTCAGGTCAATAAAGCGTTTTTGACCAAATTTGGTACAAGTACTTATGAAATAGATACTCATTACTTAACGCAATTAACTTTAGTTAAAATTGTCCAGTGGCGTAAATACAAAGGAGTTGTCTCACTTTTTCCGCCCTATTTTCACTGGATATAATTAAAATAAAATGACTTGGTAGTTTTATATAAATCTTAAAAAGAATTGTTTAATTAAAAAAGTTCCTGCCGCCCTACTAAAAATGACAATACGAATAACAAAAAAAATTACGAGACTTGTCACCCCACACTTTACGACACCTCACTTTTATCGTTTACGATATCGTCAATTAAAATTATGTTTCCCTGAATTAAATGATGTAATTACATTTGTAATTTTTAATTATGTTAATAAACTCGCTGCAATATAAATTTCGAATTTAATAATTAAAATAAATTGACGACACGTCAGACGATTAGGATGACGATACTGGAATATTGTCTATGTCTATCGTCAGAAAAAGTGGCGGCTGGTGGATTTTGGCACACCCATATCTCAGTTATTAGACATGGGACCCACATCAAATTTATATAAGTTTATAATGACATTATATAGACAAGTTCTGCGCAAGCAGAATTTAAATTAAAGTTTGCGAAAAAAAGTTAGTTTTTAAGTGCAACCCCCCAGGCAACACAGTGACGTGAATATCACGTTTAATTTACGTCTACGGTGACGTCGAAGTCACCAATTTAGACACGTCTTATCGTCGTAAAATTGACGACAATATGTCACAGCGATTTCACGTGTAAAATCACGTAATATTACGTAATTATTTACGTAATTTGACGTAAATAATCACGTAATATTTCTTGAATAAAATATGATTAGGTCATACACTGATAAAAATAATTACCGATACTGATATCAGATATTTCAATGCGAAATGTGATTTTGTCAAAATTAAAAAAAACCAAAAAATTTTTAATTGTACTTTTAAATTTTAAGAAATAAATAGGTAAACCCTACTATATATAGTATATATATATACTACTATAGTAGATATATATTTAGTAAATAATTAATAATCAAAATAAATGTATGTAAAAAAGTAGAATATCAAAAAAAAAATTGTTAGTTAATCTTTGCAGAAACACATACATATTATGTCTGGCATTAAAATATCGGATATAAGAATAAATAATTATTTTTACTAGTGCATAAAGGGCTTTTGGTTTAATAATTAATAAAACATGTTTAAAGTTGCTCAAAACATTTATTATAAAATCAAACACATTAAATTTTAAGACAGATGACAGGTCAATATTTTAGGAGCTTATGTAGGTACTTCATTTAGGTGTTATGACTTCGTTACGGAATATACTGAGTAATTAAAACATTAATAAACAAACAAAAATTGACCTACCTGACACATCCAAAGTATTATCATTATCAGATTATAAAAGTTGGACGCTTGAATCAACCATATTGTTTTTTAGGAATAAACGTTCCCTCGCTTTGTAAGTAGTGTCAAAGAGAAACAGGGTTGCCAGGTGTAAAAATTAATATTATCGAAGAGGGTTGACAAAATGATCAAATTTACAGAAAATTATATAAAATTATCAAAACAAAAATTGTAAAAAACTACGTGGCGGATTAAATTATGTTACAATTATCGATTATTATTTAAATTTTACTATTTTAAAAAAGAAAATTATAAAACATCTAGCAACTCTGTAGATAAATAATTTTACTAAAATTAAAATTGTGATTGTCAACTGCAGTAACATGTTAATTTCTCATAGATAACAAATTTCTTATTTTGTGATGAAATGATAAAGGATTTAAAAATCGCGAATTTGTTTTAAAAAATCCATTGATCAATAATTATTAATCTATCTAGTTTAAAACCAAATAATGTTTAAAATTATTTTAATAAAATATTGCACGTTGATTCTCCGTCGAAATAACGTAAATTAAATAAAAATAATAATTTTTGTTTTTAAAAAATATTCCAAAACTTTTTGTCGGCCCATTAAAACGGGCCAACTGTTTCTTATTAATTATCACTATATTTTCATATTTTCTTAAAAATTTCGTCATCTGTTCACGCGATAATGACGTCATTTATTGGTTATCATCGACCTAAGTTAATAATTGGTCGTGTTTTGGTGAATTTTGAGACGTCGAAAAATGGTTGAAATGTAACTTCGACCAAATTCGACCCAATTCGTCGACGATTCTACGTGATTTCTACGACCCTGTGTTGCCTGGGCCCCAGCCTCCTGCCCCTCCAAATTAAGATAATTCAAATTAAAGTGGTACAATATTTAATTCACAAGTTTATCGACAAATTTCAAATTTTATTTAAAAAATTCAAGAATTACAGGTTTTATACCATTTATAATTTTTATTATTTCTTTTACTAAATTTAAAAAATTTGAATCGGTATAAAATCTGTAATACTTGAATTTTTTTAATTAAATTTGAAATTTGTCGATAAATTTCAGTGAATTAAATATTGTACCACTTAAAAACTAACTTTTTTTCGCAAACTTTAATTTAAATTCTGCTTGCGCAGAACTTGTCTATATATTGTCATTATAAACTCATATAAATTTAATGTGGGTCCCATGTCTAATAACTGAGATATGCACCCATGGGTGTGCCAAAATTCACCAGCCGCCACTGGTCAAAAAGAAGCTTCTGAGCCTTGTTTCTTGTTAGATTAAATAAAATTATTTAAATTTTGATAAAATTTATTTAATAATAAACTTGATGCAATAGAAATTTTTAGTAATTATTTTAATAATTAAAATAAATTGACAACACGTCTAACGACAACACAAACGATATCTATCTATTGTTGGTAGATCGATTTTTTCCTTTTGATTATTAAACAGTGTTTAATAAACACACAGGTTTTTGTTTAGCAGGATACCACATTTATACAAAATACAAAAGTCAAGTCATAAAATTATGTTCTATTTCTCTTATAAACCCATTACATACATAAAACTTAAAATGCATACTTTTTCACACTTCTCATCTATTTTGTTTCAGGTTAAGACAAATATCCTGCAAACATGAATAATGAATGGTTCGGGACTTCCCTCACAAATGTTTTCTTAATTGAAAACGACCATACTGTCGCGTTGATAGCAATAAAACCATGATAAACCCGGAATATTCATAATGACACTAAATCATAGCAAAACATGGCCTGTAAGCACTCTGGCGGTTGTTCAACTCCGCGTCGATTCCCACGGGCGCACTTACAGCACATTTCCGGAAAGGGACTTGGAAAATCATTTTTCCACCGAGCAAGTCCTAATGACTGCGGCAGCGAAAGAAAACGCTAATAACTTCGATATGTCGTTATCTTTAAACTTGACTGCAAGCAAATCCGAGGTTCTAACAACGAAACAAGGCAATGGCGATGTTAATGCGAGCGATACCAAAGAGCCAAATGTGGAAAACGGTGTCGTGCTTCCTCTATCCAAAAAGCATTTAGAGATGTTCACGAAAATGTCGTCGGTACCCCATCATCCCAGAATGACTCTACGAACTGATACGGTGTCTACTATTCTCGATCAAGATATTGACTATGATTCAGAAAAACACCAGGACAACTTAAGTAAGTATTTAATATGTAGCAAATAATCAGATAGGCACTCTACAGGGTGTCTCAATAAATTATAAAAAAAAATTAAGTAGGTTTTAAACTTAGACAGTAAAAAAATATTTGTTAATTCTGACCAAATATTAACCATATTTTATGTTAATCCAGGTCCTCATAACTTTATGTTAAGTTTACAACCATCTGTAATCTCTAATTGAATGAGTAATTAACAGAAATTTTGTAGATTTAATAACAAAATTCTATGTCAATAACACTACGTAACAAATATTAAGTTTTGTTTTGTTTATAGTGTACTTTTTGTTTTTTATATTATTCGTGTGCCAAATGGTCATTTTAACTTAATAAAGAAATTTTAGTAAAAAGATTCTAGAAAACAAAATTTGTAGAAAAGTTGTCTTTCAGTTAAAATGTTTATAAATAAAAAATTAATTAATTAGGTTTATCCCAAAAAATATATTGAACATGAAAAATCTGACAGAAAAATTAAAAAACTAAAGATCTTAGTTACAAAAAAAAACTTTTTTGCATTGATTTACAGATTAAACCTTCAAAATGGGTGGTAGAACGACTTTTTCTTTTATATTTGCCACATCCATCTCGAATGAGATTCCACAAATCATTCTTTCTTTCCATCTACCTTGATAACGCTATAATATCTTGGTGGGACCTTTCCCCATGTTCCTCGCTCACGTCTCCAAGGTTTTCACGAAAAAAAATTAGATGGGAATACAAGAAATGCATTTTGATTGACATGCGACATTCCATATTCTTAAAGCTATCAATAAATCTTCAACAACTTCCACATAGTTGTCGTTTTTGTTATTTCCCAGAAAACACTTTGTGATGGCGCGAAATGCTCTCCAAGCCTTCTTTTAATTTTCAGTCAGTTTATTTTCAAAGTCTTCGGAAAATAGCATTTTTCCTACCTTTTATTTTGCTATGGTGAGACTAGGAAACATCGATCTAATATGTCCAAAGGCAAGTGAATTTGTATCAGCCTAATTTAATATGTAAGGTGGAAGTAAAATCTTCGTGAATAACATTGTATAAGATTTTCTCCAATGAGCCATATGCGTCTAACATAGTGTACACTATCTGCATAGCTGTCCCACATACACAAAAACACTAAAATTTAGTATACCCGCTTGCAGTCCAAGGAAAAAACTCAATATTTTAAAGTTCCCGCTCATCCCATTCATACCAATGATATTGGATTTTCAAAAAGCGTTTTAATATTTGCATAGTCTTCTTTTAAGTGTGCAGAATTCGCAACCGGTAAAGAAGGTAATTAATTCATTAAGAGAATCGACGTCAGCATAAAAGCAAATATCATCTTGGACAGAATAAAAACTGGAATAATTTTACGATAGGTATATGTAAAAGGTTCCATTGTTTAAGCCGCGATCCAAGAATTTCAGCTTTTTCTTTTGTAAGAAATAGATCTCTTACCAAATCCTTTAAGTCTTGTTGTCTTACAAAATGTGGCTCACCTTCGGGTATATAGTCTTGGTCCTGGCTACATGGTTCGTCTATTTCTGATTCAATTTCTTCCAATTCTGATTCTTAGAACTTAAAGTACCTGGTGGGAAAGAAACAGGGAGCGTATCGCTTTGTCCAATTGGTGCACTGGTATACTATAGACTGTAAGTCCGGATACTAAATATAATTTCGATCAGATGACTTCTTATAAGTTTTTAAGTCGACTAGACAAAAACTACAAACTGTGACATGATTGGTGGGCTTCCTCCAAATTCTTGGAATGCCAAAACGCATTTTTCTGTTCTCTCCTTTATACCATGCCTCAAGTTGATCGACAATTGCCACAAATTACATTTGGTGTCCAATTTTTGTATAAGTTGGCAAAAGTCATGCCAAAATAACATTCATAGGCGTCCCAAAATATAATAACAAAAAATATCTTGTCTGGATGACATTTTAAAGCAAAAATAAACATTAAACACAACAATATAAAATAGCTGTCAGGTTTAGATTTGACAGCTTGATAAAAACAAAGGATAAAATGTCATCAGGATCATAGCCCACTACGTTTGGCATAATAAAATCCAGATAAACAAATATGTTATATAGTGTAATTCAACCATAATTGTTGTAATTTTCAAAAAGGACCTTATTTTTACTAACCTTTTTGTAGACCCAGTAACAAAAGTATTTGTTGGAAATTGAAAATGAAATTTATTTATCAATGTCCTAAACAAAAAAATTAACACACCATTCTGAAATTATCAAATTATAAAGAAATTTTGTACAATATAACTATAACACTTACTAATGTATTTCGTAACTTTAACCTACTTCACTGTATCCTCTAATTACAGTTTGGAAACCAGTGATGGCATCTTTTTTTGGATACTTTGCACTTCTCACACTCGTTAAATAGGTATACGGAATCCGAACAACAATAATAAGAAATTTCTGGTAATATATTATAAACACACAGTTGTTACAAACACGTTACGAATTAGAATAAAGTAAGCAGAAAAATAAGTTGCAGACGCTAAAGTCAGTTGAACTTGTTGATAAGTATTGTCAGTGGAAAATGTTTTGATTGTTACGATTATGACGCTTGAATCAGTTTTCTGCGACGCCTTTTTTACTTTTCTATAAAAGTTGTCACTGCTTTTCACTTTAACCCACTTGTCGAATAATGATGACATCTTGCATGTGCTAATTAGATTAACCTGAATACTACACTACCTATATATCGTATATGTCGTAATTTGGTTTTGCTAATAGCTAAAATGCCTTTTAATGTATTTCCATCGAGACGAGGAGTTTAATAAAGCAGATAGAATATTAGCTGTAAAAATTACTTACATCACAAGCAAATAGTCTCAGTTTTCTCCAGAAATTTGGTTTTAACTGCTTCCATAAAACATACTTTTTAAGAACCCTTAAAAACAATATACTGCCATAATGCTAAGTAGGTAGAGGTGCCGCGAGACACGAGACGTCTCGTCTCGTCTCGTCTCGAAGCCATTTTGTCTCGTCTCGAGAGCATTTTGTCTCGAATTTCGAGACGAGACGAGATAAAATCCTTTGAGACAAGGCGAGACGAGACGAGACGAGACATCTCGAAATATTTTAATGACTTAATACGCTTTAAACGAATGATAAAATGATTAATAATTGTTTGTAACTTCAGAATTAGCAAAAAACAGCATTATAGTGTATGAGCTGGTAATACGTGCATATAAATTGTTATAATAAAATATAAAACCTTTATTCAAAAACTGCATGGTGTTTTCGAGGACATCCATACATACCTTATAGAGAATAAACAGAAAAAAAGAAACCAAATAAATGTATTTTATAAACAAAATAAATCAATAAACTCTAAACTGAAAATAAATATTAAATTTATCATTAACATTGTTAGTGCGAATATCACATTACAGGTAATAAGTAATAGGTAACTAAAAAATCCTAAATCATTAAAAAATATTTAGGTATTACAGCATAGGGTAAGTATATAGGTAAGTTTCACTAATCAAAGTTTAGCTTATCTTTTAACGTACAAGTGTACCATGAATTAAGACATAATAATAAACAAGCCGACTTAGCATTAAATTGATTTCGAAGTTTAGCTTTTGAAAAAAGGCGTTCTGAAGGAACGCTAATACTTAATAGGTCTCTTGCAATCTTTGAAATGTGTGGATAATTTAATTCATTTCTTTTCCACCAAATGGTCCAACAATATTTCCCCTTTTGATGCTCTCTTTGAATAAAAGTATGCGTTTAGTTCTTGTTTCAAAAACTCTTCAGTTTCGGATTGAGGGGTAGCCTTTTTAAATAAAAATTTAATATCCATGTCTTCATCTGAGCCAGATTGATCTTCAGTTTCTTGTATAGGTGGAATTGGCCTAGTCGGTGCGTATTTTTCACAATAAATTGTTTCAAATTTTTGGTATGATTTATTTTTCATTTTTGCACCCCAGAAAGTCATTGAAAAGGTTTCCAATTTGTGACGTGGATCTATTAAGGGTGAGGCAAATAACTTCGTTATCATTTTAGTTTATCCCACTTTTAAGAGCTTATATATTTTTCGTTTTTTGAGTAAGGCATTTTTTATTGGATTTATCCGATAATTCAAAATTAAATTGAGATAAACCAAAAAACCCAAACAATTCGAGACAAACGAGACAAAACGAGACGAGACGAGATAAGGCCTATTGCGCATGTCCCTGACGTCTGCGCGTTTTATTATGGTTAAATATTGTAATATCTATTGTTTTTTATATTTCAAACTCTAAATGATATGCCTCTGCAAAGAAAAAAAATGCCTTTTAAATGCAGAAATGCAAAATAATTACCCATATTGCTGTGTTTATCTTGAACAAATAGTCCTGTAGAGAAAGTTTTTTCCAATATGAACAATTTTTGGACAGAAGACAAATCACAATTGCAACACTAAAATCATTATTAATTGTTAAAACTAATTTCGAACAAACATACTTAAAAAATGAAGTAGGTACTAATAAAAAAAATTCACTCCCAAGAAAAATATAGTTTTAAAAAATCTTAATTTGTAATAATATTATGTTAATAGAAATACATAAAAAATACAGATTTTTTTATTAGAGTTCTGGTTTTTCTTTCAGGAGAGTTGGTCACCTTAATTGAGGCTTGTCAGAGCAAAGTCAACAATCTCCCGTCAGACTAAAACTAAGTAAATTGCGATAATTGATTTTGGTATTTTTAATTCTAGATTTGTAATTTTTTTTATATATTATATTGAAATATTGTTGTTGTAATTATAAATTGGAGATTGCTGACTTTGATATGAATTGCTGGAGATTGCTCATTTTGTTGTAAACGTTTAAGGATATTTAGAAAAATAAACATAAAAATAATTGTATTTTTTTGGATATAAAATTTAACTATACAATCAATGTGGGAAAATTCCGAACTGGACCACATAAATCTGGAGTTTCTTGTAAATCTGGGATCAGGTTGCCTCGTGCAAAAAAGTGTATATAGTACAACTCATCATCTTCTTCCCACTTTGCCCTGTAATGTTTTACTTGCAATGTTTTGACAATATCAGCCTTTTCTTGCTTTACCTTTACGTCTTATTATGGTATAATAGCACAAAATAAACAAGATAACTTTTTTTATAATTCTTAAAACAATAAAACGTATATATGCCTATTTTAAATATATTTTTAGTGCAATTTACTGAAATAGAACTTAACAGTATGTTCCAGTAAAAAAACACAAAATTAAATGTCTAAAATACGTTATAACATCAAATGTTAGGATGTCAGGTGACACAAATTACTAATTTCTAATGGTGGAATTGGAGATTGTATACTTTGCTGCAAATCTATTAGTGGAGATTGTCGACTTTGCACTAAATGCCATTTTTAAAATAGGATTTTAGGCAGGATTTAGCTTATTTTGCAGCACATAAACTTTATCATCTTATAGATAATTAGTTGATGTACAGTCTCCGCCAAAAATCTAATTTTTGACCAAAAGTGGAGATTGGCGGTTTTGCTATGACAGGCCTCAATTAAAGTAATATAAACTACGCACCACTCAATGTGTCGCGACCAAAAATTTCGTCCATTTTCAAAACGACATAACTTTTTTATTTCTTGAACGATTTTATTTTGGTTTGTGATGTCTGCTAGCCCCATTCTCTGGCAATTCATGCTATAGATATGAGGCTCACGGTTCTTCAAGTAAATTTACTACAGGGTAATATGTAAAACAGTGAAAAATTTCAATAACTTCATCCAAGCCCCGTTTGTAAAATACATATTTTTTTCTCGTTTTTACTTTAAATTAATGAAGTATTATGTCTTACCTTGAAACGTTTTTCAAATTTTTCGAATTGGAATCTTAGCAACAAAAATATGATTTTTTTTCAATGGAGTACATTTTATGCTTTTTTGTAGGCAATACACTCAGCCTTTTTAAGAACAAAAAGATAAGATGGGGAATTATTTTTGAATTTTGATTCTTGGTGATTTTGGTTTCATCTAAAACTTAAATTTGACAACTGAATCACATCAGGAGGTCAAAATTATAAAGCAAACATGTCACAAACGTAAATATCGGTTCAGGTTTAGTTTTCGCTAATTTTCTCCAAAATGTCATTTTGAAAAAGTGGTCTTTGCTTAGGTTCCTCTGAAATTAATGGAAGTTTGTTGCTTGTCGCTTGTTCAGAATTATTTAAGGAACAATCTTTCACCATCTTATCTTTTTTATCTTAAAAAGGCTCAGTGTATTGCCTACAAAAAAGCATCAAATGTACTCTTTTGAAAAAAAAATCATATTTTTGTTGCTAAGATTCCAATTCGAAAAATTTGAAAAACGTTTCAAGGTAAGACATAATACTTCATTATTTCAAAGTAAAATTATTTTACAAACGGGGCTTGGATGAAGTTATTGAAATTTTTCACTGTTTTACATATCACCCTGTAGTAAATTTACTTGAAAAACCTTGAGCTTCATATCTATAGCATGAATTGCCAGAGAATGGGGCTAGCAAATTTAAATTGACTAAATTACTGTGGCATTAAAAAGTAAAAACCCTGTAGAAAGTAATTACCATATTAATAAATGATTAAAGCAAATTTTCACTAAGCATTGGTTGCAGGTAACAACAACAAGGAGGAAGGCACGAACTCCGTGGTGGAAAAGTTTCACGTGCTGGCGCTGACTCGCATCGAGGAATCGGGCGACAACGCGGATAATAATCAAGTGCACGGCGTGGGCCGTCGACCGAGCATCAAAGTGGACAATTGGGATTACATTTACACGGAAAACAAGGCCGCCGGCAAATTGCCGCGCTGCCCGGTGCACCGTTGCAACGTGAGCAAAACTGCAGCTTTCGGCAACGGAAACGCGGACCCGAAAGCGAGTTTTTTGCCGGATCTGCCGTTAGACGCGCGTAAAACAACAACGTTACGGCGGCATTATTATCCGGAAGGCGGCTGGGGATGGGTGGTGGTTGTGTGTGCAGTGCTAGTGCATGTACTCAACCACGGAATACAGCTTTCCTGTTCTCAGCTTGTGGTCCCTGGAGTCGAGAAGTTCAAAGTCGAGTCCGTACATTTCGCAGGTAAATTTAATTATAAACGCCGTTTATAATAGCTTAATTAAATGCAGTTGCATTTTAAAAAACTAATTGCGGCAAAAGAAGATTTGATCTTTATTAACCTATTCAAGTTTAAACTGAATAAACGGCGAAATACAAGACAATTTAGAGACATTTGTGATAAAAAAACTATTAGAGATAACAGAAAAAAACTTTGTATTAATAAATATTCTTGAAAAAGTAGAAAGCTATGCTGTGTATACAGGGTGCACCAAGTATCTGTTACATGTTGATAAATTTAGTATATTTTGTATTTTAAGTTTATGTGTTGTGTTTACCTCTCTCTTTTTCTCTCACACCTTCTTGGGTGATTTCCATTGTAGAGCAAAGATGTGCAAATATATTTTTAAAGAAATCCATTAATATTTTAATTATTATTAATCATCAGCACCTAGAAACCACATAACATGGCGCAGTCGTAAAAAAAGAACAAAAGTAAATTAGTATTGCTAGTGAAAAAGTACAAAAACAGAAAAATAAGAAAAAGTGAGGTTAGTCGTTAGTGAGGTTAAAAAGAAATAGAAAACAAACAAGTGAAGACGGAATTCCTAAAACAGCCCAAAAGCATGCTAATTGAAGGAGATATGTCAGTAAATTACAAGAAGTGTAGGAAAAGTTTTAAATTATTTATAACAACTGGATTTGCAGAAAAATCACAAAATTCGTTTTTCTCAAATAGTTCAAAGCCCTCTAGATTGATCTTTATGATGATATATTTTCTGATGACGAAACGTCAAAAGGCCAATTTGAGGATTCTGTCTGACTTTCCTCAGGATTCCAAATATGTAAAAATCGAAAGTTGGTATCATTTCCGGCGAAACCAAAAGTTCAAAAAATTAATTTTATATCCTAATTCACCATGCAAAATTTCATGTGTCTATCTTTATAAATAAAAAAGTTACAGGGGTGCGCCTCTTCTCAGATACACCCAGTATAAATGTCACCATCAACAACTCGCAATGTTATCGCCTTTAAATGCAATTTTTTTTCGTTTTTTAATTTACGTCCCTGTGTTACAATATATATGTATACCGGGTGTATGTGAGAATAGGCGCACCCCTGTAACTTTTTTATTTATTAAGATAGACACATGAAATTTAGCACGGTTAATTAGGATATAAAATGCCACTTATAAGAGTATAAAATGAATTTTTTGTACTTCCGGTTTCGCCAGAAATGATACCAACTTTCGATTTTTAAATGGAATGCCCTATATATTTTTACACATTTGGAATCCTGAGGAAATTCTGAATTAGACAGCATCCTCAAATTGACCTTTTCACGTTTCGTCATCAGAAAATGTATCAACATAAAGATCAATCTAGAGTGCTTTGAACTATCTTATTTTCTTCTAATGGATTCGCACAATGCCTGAAAAATGGAACTTGCCTTAGAAAGTTGTTATTCAGCTACTCCCAGCAGTATAAACTTGTCAAAATTCGTTTTTCTCAAATAGTTCAAAGCACTAGATTGATCTTTACGATGATGCATTTTCTAATGACGAAACATCGAAAGGTCAATTTGAGGATGCTATCCGACTCAGAATTTTCTCAGGATTCTAAATATGTAAAAATATATAAGGCGTTCTATTTCAAAATCGAAAGTTGATATCATTTCCGGCGAAACCGGAAGTTCAAAAAATTAATTTTGTACTCTTATAAGTGGCATTTTATATCCTAATTAACCATGCTAAATTTCATGTGTCTATCTTCATAAATAAAAAAGTTACAGGGGTGCGCCTATTCTCAGATACACCCGGTATAGTGCCTTTATTTAAATTTAAATTTTAAACCGATTTTTTGGATACGTAAAAAAGTATCAAACTCGCCTTCGGCTCGTGTGTGTTTCACTCGAGCGGAATATGTCGTATTCCAATCTTGTTAAAGAATATACTATTCTTCTCCCACCTTTAAAATGACCATTATTGTACATGTTTTAATGACACCAAGTTACTGAAGTTAGCTTTAAGTTAGTTGACAGTTGTCAAATATCATTCAATCGTTAAATTAAAGCGACTATAATGATCTTTACGAAATGGGGTTAGAACCGTCTGACAGATCTCAAATTTTATTTATTTATTTTTTAAAATGAAATAATTGAAGTTAAAAAGGTATGGTAGATCCCTTTTTTAAGAACGTTTATTAAACACTCGCTATGCAAGCTATGCTCCTCCCTAATTATACTCGTGACTAAAATGGCGTTTATCAAACTTGTTGCATGATACGAGGTGTGTTCAGAAAATATCGGGATTTTTCGTTTTTTGAAAAAAATATTTATTTATTCGTCTACATTAATGTTGTTGCCTTCAAAATAGTCCCCATTGGATATTATGCACATGTGCCAGCTCTTCTTCCAATACTCGAAACACTTCCAAAACTCGATCTCTGGGATAACCTTTAGTTCTTTCAGCGATGCGCTTTTAATGTCATCTATGCTTGCAAAACGACGGCCCTTTAAGGTTCTCTTTATTTTTAGGAATAGGAAAAAGTCAGACAGAGGCATGTCGGGCGAATATGGAGGCTAGGGCATCATTACAGTATTGTTTTTGGCCAAAAATTTTGTTCAAAATTTAACAATTTTAGAACAATTTTTGCTGCCACGCGTTTCATACCCAAAACATTCGAAAAAATTTCATGGGCAACATCGACTTCTCTGATGGTTTATAACCATTTCTTCCACTTTTTCCATGTTTTTATCGGTTGTTAATGTGCTTGTGCGTTCGGGGCGTTCGTCATCTTCAACGTCTTCACGACCATCTTGGAAACTCTTATAACACTTGTAAACTCTTGTTTTACCTATAGCATACTCACTATAGGCCTTTAATAACATTTTACAGAATTTATTTTATTTTTTAAGCAAAATTGGATTTAAATTCTTTGATCCATTTCTTTTAACGAACGAAAAATCGCCGAGCTCATAAAACACGTCTAACCTTAGCGGCTGCCACAGAAAAAGTAAACAATGAAAACAGCTAAAGTTTTTATTATACTTCGGGGGCATGTATACCAACATAAAAGGAAATTTTATGACAATCGGACCCTCTGAACCCGCGAAATTTAATAATTCCCGTTATTTTCTGAACACACCTCAAAATAGTTGTTTGGCGTCAGTGATTGGCTGATTGCATTATTCACTGTGATTTGGAAAATCGACTTTTTTCCTCCTATTTTGGTTCTTTTTATTTTTTTTTAAATCTTTTTACAATTTACTAATGGGATGGAATGAAACGGAATAAATAAACCTGATAAATGTTACTAAAATTTTATTTGCGTAAGGGATACAAACATTTTTTCTCAAACCTTTTTTGGGTCATTAGCTTGTATATACAATAAAATATCAATGTATTTCACCAACCCAGTTACCTTTTTTATAATTCCAACTTCACTACCTAAATAAAAAAAATATACATTATTAAGATTTTTTTGTAATGTTTTAATAAATTCGTTTAAAAAATAGTGTGTTATTAAAATTTAAGTCCTACTGCATACAGTTTAGACCTAAATATTACGTTTGTTTTTAAGTATCTGGATGGTTCACATTGACCAGAAAAAAGTCAAGACGAGTTAAATCGCAATATCTCGGTGGCGATAAATTAACGCGTAAAATTATATTTTATATTAAATTGTATCATGTTGCCCTAAAACAGAAATTCTCTAGATTATGTTTAAATAAAAGTTCAGTTAAAATCACAGATCTTAATTTTAATTTTAAGAGGCTCCTCATCGAGTTTAAAAATAATTTTTTCTCAATCTATGTAGCCATTTTTTAACATAACCGACTGATGGACAATGGAAATAATGAACTCATTATTCACGTTGTTAGGCATTAGTAATTTGCCGATAAAAAGCTGAACTATTTGACAGATGTTTGATTATATTTATTTATTTTTGAAAATCATTTAATTATACAAGGTGTCCCTAAACTTAGTGGCATAAATTTGGGAGCAGATTAAGCAAGTCAAAATAAGACGAAAATCTAAATAAATATTTTTCCTAATTAGGTATGTTTAAAAGATGCAGGGTGATAAAGTTTACTTATCATATCAGTTTTTTTTAATATAACTTCCACTATGGTAGACGTGGAAAGGTGATATTTTGAGAACAGTCTCTTACTACCAAAATACATATTCACACATAATAACAATTGTTCGAGTGAACGCAGTGTCGTAGAAACAGGGGTTGCTTAAGCTTATTGTCCCATACAAACTTTGAGGTTAGGTTTTTATAACATTTGATGCATTTTTTCGATTACTCAGTTCGTCTACTATTGAAAAGGTATACCTCTCAAACTTCGATAAAATAAACCGTTTCCGAGATATCCGAGATTACAATAATTGTTATATCGCATAATTGTTATATCGCATTAAAGGACTAAAAGGTACCTATATGATAACAAATTTTTTAATTGAAAAAACTACAATTTTTTTAATCTGACGGTCAGGGCAAAAAGTCTCGAGGCTCATGGAATGCCGTTTTTTAGTTTTTTTCAATTAAAAAATAAAATTTGTTATCATATACCTTTTAATCCTTTTAAATAATGCGATATAACAATTATTGTAATCTCGAATATCTCGGAAACGGTTTATTTTATCGAAGTTTGAGAGGTACACCTTTTTAATGGTAGACGAACTGTGTAATCGAAAAATTGTATCAAATGTTATAAAAACCTAACCTCAAAGTTTGTATGGGACAATAAGCTTAAATAAGCTTAAGCCGTTTCTACGACACTGTGTTCACTCAAACAATTGAAATTATGTGTGAATATGTTTTGGTAGTAAGTGACTGTTCGCAAAATATCACGTTTCCAAGACTACCAGAGTAGAAGTTATATTAAAAAAACTGATATGATAGGTAACACTTTATCACCCTGTATCTTGGAAACATAAGTAATTAGGAAAAATATTTATTTAGGTTTTCGTCTTATTTTGACTTGCTTAATCTGCTCCTAAATTTATGCCACTAAGTTTAGGGACACCTTGTATAATATTTTCAGGGGCCATATTTTAGGGGCTGTATATGGCCGTTTTCGACCTGTGTTCATTGAAAGTTTTCATCTTAGTTTTGTCTCTTAAAATCGCTTGTAGATTATTGCAATTTTTTTGGGACACCCTGTATATAGTTAGTTTTATGGAAAAAATGGCTCCCAAATAAGAAAAATAAATCAATTTTTCTGAAATTTTCTTACTAGCAATTTGATAAATAATGGCATTAGGCTGCAATTCCAATGTACGCATTGCCAACCCCAAAGTTGCACTATCTCCTTCTTCGATGCCATTATAATCGGTTACGCATTTACCAACCGGATCCTTAGAGTGAACTTCTCCCGATAATATTTTATTAATTATGCCCGAAAATGTGACCGCACCGACCAACGAATTGCTAAAACAACAGCATTACTAAGCCATGAATATTCTATTGTGCAAATATTTACTGTTTGTTTATTATCGGGACTTGTTTGATTCTGTATTTTCTCATAATGTGCATAACGCTGTGACAAGACATGGAATCTTCAGCAATTTGAAGAGGTTTTAGACGTAATTCCGATATATTAACATCCCACCACCTAAAATTTAAATTAAAACACCAATTAATATCAACACTTCAAGATAACGTATTTAGTGATTTAAGCATGGTATTTAAATTACCAGTAATCTCCCGGATTACTGCAAGGTTCTATATTCTTAACTTGAAGCCAGCTGTCGTTAACAAACATTTGTAAGTAATCTCTTATGTTATCCGGTAAAATAATCACGCATTTGTTGCTTGCACTAAGAGTTTTCGCTTCGTTTAATGCCACACATACAGCCATTCCACTATACACACCTGTAAAATAGTACAATATAGACCTGGCGAAGAAAACACATATTATAGCCGAGCATATATTTCACAGTCGATTGTGTTCGATTGCATTCGCCGCCGTGTTTTCCAATTGTTTTTTTCAAAAATTTAATTAGAATATTTAAGATTTTAAGATTTTCTAAATAGGTTTATAATAAATTATTTTTTAAACTAATATTAATATGAAGACAAGGGTGTGCCAAAAAAATACAATATCGTGTTTTGTCCGCTCTCACGTGAAAATTTCATAGAAAACGTCTAATTAAAAAAAAGTCCAAAGTCCAACCCCAATATATTAATTTTGCGTCATTTTGAGTTTTAAAATTTCCTATGTTTTTTAAAAATAAATAATTAAATTAAAATTATAGTGCATTAATTTTAATAGTATATTATGTATCAAGTTTGATAAACGCCATTTTATACACAAATTTAATTTAGGCACGAGCAGACTTGCGACCGAGTGCTTAAGTTAATGAATGTATAGAAAAGTTTATAAACGAGGTGCATACTTTTTCTACGACAAATACTTATTATTATCTTAAAATGATTTAAATCAAAAATTTGTATAGAGCGTCATCTATGAAACAACAGGGGAAACTGTAAAATGTCACATTTATACATTTTATAAACACGATTATAAAGGTTATAAATCGAAATGTATCTTGAAAATTGACAGTTTTTTACAGTAAAAGTAAAGGAAATGTTTTATGAGGACTTTACAGAAGAGTCCGTGCCCGAATTTAAGTTATAGTTTACTGCCGGCGAAATTAAAAGGTCAGTACAATGTTCATATAAACTTTTCAAATATTGGCGTTGAGAAACTATTTAATATTTTTGTATTTTTTTATTGAGATAATAAAATAATTTTCACATTTAGTATTATTTTACAGGAAAGGCACTTTATTTTAACGATTGTATGACATTTGACAACTGTCAACTAACTTAAAACTATCTTTAGCCCGTGACTATAAACCTGTTGCTAACCACAACTTGTCAATGTGTATTTAAAAGGTCACTTTTAATACGTGTGCGATCGCAGAACATAAGCTTGCGCAAAGCACCCCGCGACGTGGCGATGGAGCAAGGTTCTTATCAGCTGGGTGCTTTGCGCAAGCTTATGTTCTGCGATCTGCGACCTGCGACAATTGTAGACCAGGCTTAACGAAAATCTCTGTAAAATGCATACTAGGCTGACGGACCAACACAAAAATTTAAGCAAGCTTTTTAAATTAAATTGGTTAATTTTATGTGAATTGACCCAGCTATTTCAAAACATTCCGATCGAATATTATTATAAAGGGTGGGCCACCTGATGGTTTCTTTTTAAAATTGCTATTAAAACTAAACTGTTGAATATTTTTAAATGAATATTAACTTATTTAAGGTAAAAACCTTCCGATTTATTTATACATATTAAATTGTTTGTAGCTCTATTTGACAAATAGCTCGACGAATGTTTTCCTTCAGTGCGTTAATTGTTTGTGGATCGATGGAGTAACAAAGTTTCTTAAAACATAGTAAAACGGCAAAAAAACAGCCCCGCGACATGAGAATATGAAATCGAGCTTCGTGAAAAAAGATAATTTTGCAAAAATCTGATTTAAAGCTCATACAGAGAAGTGATAACTAAGTGGATGGTCATTTTCTTTTAACTCTTGAACAAGTTGCACCTTATAAGCAAATATTTCGAGGTCTTTATGCAAAACATTTGACGAGCTATTCGTTAAATTGAGGAACAAACAATCGAACACGTACTGCAAAATTTTGTGAAGAGGGTGAACTAATGCCAAGCGGTTATTTAACTGAAACGGTTTTCCATAAATAATCGGAAGGTGTACTTTCTTGGATAAGGTAATATTTATTTAAAAATATTTAACTGTTTAGTTTTAATAACAATTTTACAAAGAAACCATCAGGTGGCCCACCCTTTAGGTACCACAAAATATCCCTTCATCTGCGATAAGCCTTCTGGCCATCTTAAAACCCTCATTTTTATCGCTTTTAATCCATTTATCAATAACAGACTGATCAAGCATCATAGGTAGAAACTCAGGGTTTGCGCTGCCGCTATCCGAATAAGAATAATCCAAACTAGTTTTGTCGTCATTTGTTGGTGCCTGTTCCGCCTCGCTGCTTGTTACGGAATTGATGCCCACCATTATGCAATTTGGGCATTTTTCTCTAATCTTTCTGCCGATGCCTGTGATTATGCCTCCGCTTCTACAGTTAACCACCTAAACATACTTTTAATACAGATTTTTTTGTATATATATATATATACAGGGTGTCTAAAATGTGATGGGATAGCATTGCTATCTCCGAAACGGTTATAAATGGAATAAAAGTTGCGTAATTACATGGCTTTACCACACAATTACCTACATTTTGATCCAATTTGTGTATTTTTACGCCTACTCGATTTTGAGATATATAAATATCAAATATTTTAACCATGTATCATACATGGTACTTTAGCCATAAATAAACCCATTAAAATCAATTTTTTATTATTGAGACACTAACTATCAAGTTGCCATGAAAAGAAACAATCCAATTGTCCAGGTCCAAATGACGTTTATGCCTATCAAGTTGATAATGTCAATCAAGGTGCTAAAAATTTTCCTTAAAGTGCATGAAATGAAGTACACTAATAAAGAAAAAGTCGATATGCTTTTGGTTTATGCAAGAGCATTTCGAAGTGCAAGAAATGGTGCTGACTTGTATCCCGAAAAACAGCTTCCCGAAACTAAAATATTTGCACGCTTAGAAACTGGGATTGTTTCAAAAGCCAAAAAAATAAAACCAACTGTAACAGAAGAAGGAGGTGAAGAAGAAACTATAAGGTCTTGGGTAATATTTTATAAAAAAAAAAATTAAAATTTAAAATTTACGTTGTGATATTTATTTTATGCTACGTGCATTTTTAAAATTTAAATTAAAGTGAGGTTTCTCTGAGGGAAATCGAAAAATCCCTATGGACTTTTCCATGTGGGAAATTATTAAACAAAATGTTTATAAGGCGATGCGTCGCGTGATGTAAATGATTTGAAACTTAAAAAAATTTCTCCGACCGTTTTGAAAAACATTCAAAAAAAATTTGACCAAAAGAGTACACTTTTCGTAGTAAATTTGATGTTTTGTCTTTTAATATTTACTACTCTGTTGATTTTGATATTTTGATATTTTTATAGTAACTAAATGTTGTTTATTGTGTTTTTTTATGACAACTTGACAGTTTTTTTTTAAATATTTTGGGAACCGCTTATTTTTTTGCAATCGTTTTTGTCATATTAAAAGTCATGTAATTACGCAACTTTTGCTCTTGATGCTCTATTCCAACTATAACCTTTTCCGAGATATCAATGCTATCCCATCACTTTTGGACACCCTATATATATATATATATATATATATATATATAAATATATATATTATACTAACCAGCATGTCCACACTCCCTTCAAAAGCATCTAAAATTTCTTCTGCTGTACCATCGTAATGACATAATGGATTGTCAGGACTTGTATACTAAAATAAATTGATTATTTTTTATTAATTAGTATTAGATCTAAAATATATTTGTCTACTTGCTTATCATACAATATTATAAGCAACATTATGACACGCTTTTGCGTTTCATATATTGTTAAAAAAATTAAATTTCTACTTATAAAATAAAAAAAATAAAAAGTTTTATTCCTAATTGTATGTAATTGTGTGTAATATTACGGTATACAGTAGTATACTATAGTATTATTGTATTTTTTTACGAGTTGATCTTAAATTTACAACAAAAATACTTAAATTATGTAAATTTTTTTCTTTCGAAATACTACGCCGCTTAAATTTGATTTTTATTTTCAAAAACGCAATCGGAAAATATTCTGAGATTTTTTTATAGCTATCATCACAATCCACACAACAGGTATGTTCTATCTTGTTTCGCACATACTAAAAGACGGCCATTTATATTTTGTTTACAATTCTTATGCTTCGGGTTGTTAATACAGAATAATAATCGTTAAACCATTAAAAGAGGCCTTAAAGTGCTAAGGGCAACCATTTTACTCCTCTATTGTAAAAAATAAACTGTCAAATGTAAATTTTAAGGCCTCATTTGAGTCTTACAAGTGCCTCTGTAAGAAACAACGTTTAAAACGATTATTAATCTGTATACAGCACAAACTCAAAGCACAAGAAATGTATACAACTACACTCTTAGAAAAGACCTGGTATTTGTAACTAACTTATTATCGTTGGGGTAAAACTGTTGCAGAAAATAACATTTTTTGTTTTTTGTAATCAGTACCTTTATATGTGTAACTGCTTGCATCATTACCTGAAAAGATTTAGTTTTGTTGTGGAGTATTATTTACTGCAAAAAGGCGATTAAGTTATTTTAACTGAAACTTTGTGTTGGCTAGAAGTATTGACAACATTATCTCAAAAAAATCATTTCGGCGGTAAAATGTTTTTGTTGGACCAAATATTTAAGTAACATTCTCAACTGACTGAAATTAGTCCGTGGAACTAACGGTTCGGTTGTATAAACTATGCGTCACTTTTCACTCAGCTAAGACACCAGCGGTGTGAAACAAAGTGTCAGTTGGGGATGTTGTCTCTGTAGGTTAATGCAACTGCAAACTTTGTGCATTTCGCGCGCGATTTGTCCAGCCCGGCGCGTGCTTTACTTTTAACTTGTAAACAAACGGTGTTGCACGGCGTCCAGACGGTGGTGTTTGTTCTTTTATATTTGTGTATCAGCTCGTGTGTTGTGTATATTTTAGGTAAGAAACTAGTTTATTACAATTAGTCATTTGCCCCTGTAAATTCAGTGGCGACATAATTTTTAACTATTCATATATATAAGAATATATTCTTATGTGTTGGTTACTTATAGATATCTCGAACAAATAATATGGATAAGCGGACTGAAGTACCTAGCAGATTTATTAGGAACATGGGGTTTACCTGAATTGGTTCCAGTTTTTAAAGGTTAGGTATTATTATTGCACTCCTTTAATTACACTATTGTAGTTTTGGGGTCCGAAAAAAAATTCAAAAATGTGAAAATGCCATACCGACTGAAAATGGCCTCCTGAATCCAATGGTGCCCACCAAAAGTCTCCATCACGTCGGAATTTCGAATTCTTACCCCTGTTATCATGCAAGTATGTTACGTTGTACCTAAGAATCATTGTTAAGTTGTTAAACAAAGGCTTGCACTTCACGTAAACATCACGGTTTATTGAAGAAGTATATTCAACTTTCATCTTAATGTACCTATCTGTGTATATTTACCAAAGAATCGTTTTTGTTTTATTGTTAAAATATTTATAAATGTTTTCTTATAGTAATTATTAATTTTTGTTATAATGTTTAAACCAAAATTTGGTGTTTTCAGTTATATTGTTATTTTTTAATTTATAATAAATATTTATAAAACGAACGGGCATGAATTTCCTTTCTCTATTTTTTATAATATTTACACAAAAAGTGTTATATTTACTAAGCAGGTATGTACTGTGGAATAATACCAATTTGTTGTTGCTACTAATGCAAGCATTTAATATTAAATATAACTTAGTTACAATACAAAACAAATTTATATTATATCAACTATTAAATTCTTTAAATGTACCTTTTTTCATGTAGTTTCAATTAAAAAATAAATTCCTGCATGATACAATGTTTGTTGCGATAAATAGCAAGTGCAGTTGTTACAACTTAGACGCTGCTAAAATGACAGACTAATGTGATTGCATTAAATATCAATTATTTGTATGAAAAAAAAACTAATTTCGATGCACTTAAACTTGTTGGTTGGAGCTACCAATATTGGCTGTTCCGACAACAAACTGTAAAAACAAATTTGTATTAGTTCCCACAACATATTTTTTTGTTGTGCCTATTTTCACTAATAAAATTGGTTCTGGGAACTAAATTTTCATTGCAAATACCAGGTCTTTTCTAAGAGTGTACGTTCGAGTCTGGGCAGTGTTGCAATTATTTTTAGTATGCGCGACCTCGTGTGGATTGCATCTATCATTACAATCCACATAACTATCTCTATTTGTGCATATTAAAAATTACTGCACAGACTCGAACGGCGGCCATTTTTTGTGCTGTTTATACAGATTAATAATCGTTTTTTTACAGAGGCACTTGTAAGACTCATATGAGGCCTTAAAGTGCCAAGAACAACCATTTTGTAAAAAATATACCTTATTCTATTAGGGCTGTCATTAAACAGTCGAATTTCAATTTTAAGGTTAATTTACCATAACCACCAAATTTAAATTTCACAGTTTGATTATTTAAGTTATATTTTTTACAAAAGAGGAGTAAAATGGTTGTTTTTATCACTTTAAGGTCCAAGTGCTAAGAATAACCATTTTACTCCTCCTATGTAAAAAATAAACCTTAAATAATTATTTTATCAGAGCTGTCATCAAACTGTCAAATTTTAATTTGTCGGTTATGGTAAATTAACCTTAAAATTGAAATTCGACAGTTTAAAGACAGCCCTGATAGAATAAAGTTTATTTTTTACAAAAGAGGAGTAAAATGTTTGTTCTTAGCACTTTAAGGCCTCATTTGAGGCTTACAAGTGCCTCTGTAAGAAACACAACGTTTAAAACGATTTTTAATCTGTATACACTCTTAGAAAAGACCTGGTATTTGCAATGAAAATTTAGTTTCCAGAACCAATTTTATTAGTGAAAATAGGCACAACAAAAAAATATGTTGTGGGAACCAATACAAATTTGTTTTTGCAGTTTGTTGTCGGAACAGCCAATATTGGTAGCTCCAACCAACAAGTTTAAGTGCATCGAAATTAGTTTTTTTTTCATACAAATAATTGATATTTAATGCAATCACATTAGTCTGTCATTTTAGCAGAGTTTAAGTTGTAACAACTGCACTTGCTATTTATCGCAACAAACATTGTATCATGCAGGAATTTATTTTTTAATTGAAATTACATGAGAAAAGGTACATTTAAAGAATTTAATAGTTGATATAATATAAATTTGTTTTGTACTGTAACTAAGTTATATTTAATATTAAATGCTTGCATTAGTAGCAACAACAAATTGGTATTATTCCACAGTACATACCTGCTTAGTAAATATAACACTTTTTGTGTAAATATTATAAAAAATAGAGAAAGGAAATTCATGCCCGTTCGTTTTATAAATATTTATTATAAATTAAAAAATAACAATATAACTGAAAACACCAAATTTTGGTTTAAACATTATAACAAAAATTAATAATTACTCCTAAGAAAACATTTATAAATATTTTAACAATAAAACAAAAACGATTCTTTGGTAAATATACACAGATAGGTACATTAAGATGAAAGTTGACTATACTTCTTCAGTAAACCGTGATGTTTACGTGAAGTGCAAGCCTTTGTTTAACAACTTAACAATGATTCTTAGGTACAACGTAACATACTTGCATGATAACAGGGGTAAGCATTCGATAAATTTTGAGTGTGAGTGCCTATAGTATAGGCCTTATACCAAAAATGCGACTTGAGCTGTAACAAAACAAAACAAAAAAATTCTCGAAATTCCGACGTGATGGAGACTTTTGGTGGGCACCATTGGATTCAGGAGGCCATTTTCAGTCAGAATGGCATTTTCACATTTTTGGATTTTTTTTCGGACCCCAAAACTACAATAGTGTAATTAAAGGAGGGCAATAATAATACCTAACCTTTAAAAACTTGAACCAATTCAGGTAAACCCCATGTTCCTAATAAATCTGCTTTTTCAGTCCGCTCATCCATATTATTTGTTCGAAATATCTATAAGTAACCAACACATAAGAATAGTTAAAAATATGTCGCCACTGAATTTACAGGGGCAAATGACTAATTGTAATAAACTAGTTTCTTACCTAAAATATACACCGAAGTCTGGACGCCGTGCAACACCGTTTGTTTACAGGTTAAAAGTAAAGCACGCGCCGCACAGTGGGAGGAATTTCAAAAATCGCGGACAAAATTAGGGACACATTATTTTAAGCTATTTTAAGGTTTATGCGGTGTTAAATTTATGCTAAAATATTAATATTAATAAAATGTTTTAATTATGTACACAAATTCACAAATTTGTTTTAAACAATTTGGAAAAGTTCGGTTTTGTCGATCCTCCATTCTTCAAAAATATAAATTAATAAACAAATATATTACGCAATATTACCTAAGTTAAAAATAGAAAAATAAACAAAAAAAACAATAACAATTAAGGAATATTCTAGCAAAATCACTTATATACATTTTTTTCTATACATCTTTTCTTTGTAAATTTCGCATCTTTTGCTTTATTTATATCGACTACTAAAGTGACTTGGTCCAAAAAACCCTATATCGATATTAAAATAACATTTAAAAGTTGACTTTAAAGCAAAACCGGTTAAATCCACGTTTTTTACCATGTTTTTTACCATAGTTAACCATGAAATATAATGGTATTCCAAAATTTACCTTCCAATTCTTATGTAAAATTGTCCCCGGAATCCGAAAATGCCATAAAAAATTATGAAAGTGGAGCAGTTTTTGAAATATAGTCAATTCCATATTAAATGAAAAATTGACTATATCTCAAAAACTGTTTTAATTTTTTAACTTTTGACAATATTTTCGGATTCAGGCGACAATATAAGATTTATCAATAATATCCAGGTTTTCGGTTAGGTACTTTAAAAGTTTGTTATATTTTTCTTTGTTATTAACAAGTTCATACAACTCCTTATTAGTCGTTGATGGCATTTCTACATAAAAAAAGCAAGTTATTCAAATAAACATGTAATATTTATATTAATATTAATATTATAACTTACCAAATATTATTATAAATCGTTAATAAACACAAAAACACGATGAGATTGTTTGTTTGATTGACTTTCACTGGAAACTGACGTTTTAGAACTAGCAAAAGGCAACTACGATGACTTAAAAATATTCGACTAATATGATAAATTCATGGACATATTTCATATTCTGCTGACCAAACAGGCAAAAAAAGGCAGCTTAATTCTTTTGACTTTAAAAAAAGAAAATTTGATGAACGTTCTGGTACCAAATACTTTGCCTCACACCAAGACACACCTAAAGAAATATCTTGTGGTTTGTAAAAGATTTATCTACTTTGAAAGGCGATGGTAAAAGGTTTATAAAAACCGTATTTATGGTAAAATTTGCAATTTTAGACTTTTATATGAAAGAACAAGGATAAGGAATGTGGTAAAATATACCATCATTTCCTTTCATTAATTACGCAAAACAAAAATGGGCTTGAAAAACTTACATACAATTTTCTCTAAAAAACCGACACGAACAATGTGACTTTTTAAGCAAGTTTAAGCGGGCATTTTATCATAAAAAAATATATTTCTTTTAAAATCATAATCTCTGTGCTTTCTTTTTTCATAACTCGTAATTTAAAATTTACTATGTTGATTTTTACAAAATAGGGTTTTGTCCGCGATTTTTGAAATTCCTCCCAGTGTGCGCCGGGCTGGACAAATCGCGCGCGAAATGCACAAAGTTTGCAGTTGCATTAACCTACAGAGACAACATCCCCAACTGACACTTTGTTTCACACCGCTGGTGTCTTAGCTGTGTGAAAAGTGACGCATAGTTTATACAACCGAACCGTTAGTTCCGCGGACTAATTTCAGTCAGTTGAGAATGTTACTTAAATATTTGGTCCAACAAAAACATTTTACCGCCGAAATGATTTTTTTGAGATAATGTTGTCAATACTTCTAGCCAACACAAAGTTTCAGTTAAAATAACTTAATCGCCTTTTTGCAGTAAATAATACTCAACAACAAAACTAAATCTTTTCAGGTAATGATGCAAGCAGTTACACATATAAAGGTACTGATTACAAAAAACAAAAAATTTTATTTTCTGCAACAGTTTTACCCCAACGATAATAAGTTAGTTACAAATACCAGGTCTTTTCTAAGAGTGTATGCAGCACAAACTCAAAGCACAAGAGATGTAAACAACATACAAATGGCCGCCGTGATTCTGTGCAGTGTTGCAGTAGTTTTATTTTGCGCGAAACGAGATGCTTTTTAAGTTTTGAAACGTAATTAAAAAATTGTGGTTAAAATTTTTATATAAATAAATATTCCAAAAAATTCTAATAAAAAAAATTAATTAAAACTATCATAGCTGTAACCTTTAAAATATCAAATGTTTAATACTCATATTTATTCCAAAAAATAAGACTTTTCGGAGGGGAAATTCCGGTGCAAATGAAGCAGTGTTTATTTTTACTTATATACAGGATGCCCAATTGTGTAATTACAAGCCTATTAAAATGAAATTTGAATTTTTTTTATTATTTGTCCTGTATTATGTATTATCAAAATGCTAACTTGAAAATTTCAACTAATATGCTATTATGAATTTGCTCTTGACATTGTTTCAATCTTTAATTTGTAATAATTTAAATCATTTTCTAAACAATTTATGTTAATATTAAAATACTTTTTTAATTTTAAAATGAAGTCATAATTAAAAATTACTAATTACATACTATACTTTGTTTACTTTTATATTAAATTTAAATTAATGTTTACTTCAATAATATTTAAAATCATATTCTTTAATTAACCTTTTGTTAATTAAACATTTCAAGCTTTAAGCTATGACAAATACTAATTAAATGGAAACTTTTCTTCTCCTTCTGTAGCTTAGGAAATTTATGATCGATTTACCGGGTTTAATATGACTGCATGTGGAATTTCGCAGCTCAACGTTTCGCAAACTCCAAAAAGGCCGGTCTTGGAATTGGGATTTGTATTTTTCGAAACTTTAATTATGTCCGCTCCCAGCAAATTCAAAGTGATCTCTCTGTATTCTATTATGTCGTCTGGAGTAACAATTTTTATTGGATAGCCTGAAATTAATACCAAATTGGTATGATACAAGATTTGCTTGCTTAAGTTAAATTATATATACTATTATATATTTAAGTAACTCTAGGATATTATTTATTAAGTCATTTGGAACAAAAAATGTAATAAGCATTTTGGTCAAATATGGATTTTTAATTTATTAGGGTGGGTTTTACCAGTCCGAGTTAACCCTAGATTATTTTTAATCCGCCATTTATTGCTAAAATGCGTTTTACGAAAGTTAATCGAAGATTAACCGATGATTAATATAAAGAAATTTTACTTGCCAATTTTGACGGTTTAAACATTGAATAACCTCACTTTTATGTTTCAATTTTCTCCTTTCACAAGTAGGACGTCCGACTGCTGTTGAAGACAATTTCAAATCGAGCTTAAAATTATACAATACTTATCGCTTTCGCACAAATAGAAGAACTTGGTGAATTTATCGAAAACGAAGATTTTATACAATTGGTGTCCGTTGTGTTAAGGGCACCGCGTACTGTACGTAAGAGAACAAATAATTTTGAAAAATGGAATGAATTTGAATTCAAAGAACGAATCGATTGTAGAAAGTAGTTGAGTGAAGTAAGTGGATTTGATAAGGCCACTGTATGAAGAGATAAAACTACCTAATGTATTAATTTCTATTGTCGAGTTGCGCCCGGAGTTCATAGAAATGCCTTCGCCTGAAGACGAAATTGCACAGGTTGGCGAAGATACCGAAAGATGCCATTTTCAACAATTCTGGTCTAAAAGTAAAGAATTTGGAGAAGAAAGCCTAATCGTCCGAGACAGTGGCTACACTGAGAAAAAAGTTTATTGCTCCCAAATAAAAAAAATATTTAAATATGGGACAAGGGTACAGTTTATTTATCCTAAATATATTTTTATTCCCGACACATAAAGTTTTACTAAAGTATATTTATTGTTATTATTTCGACTATTTAGAGGTAATAAACAATATATTCACTATTAATAAAAGTATTAGCTACACAGTTTATTTGTACCATTTTTTTCTTAGTGTATGAAGTAAAAAATTAACTAATAAATCCCCTTGCAAAACCCAATATCCCCCCATCTTTTGGGGCCTTTAAAAGAAGGTTTCTTTGTTTAGGTTTTGGTATAAGACTACATGTCACCAAAGTGGAGCTTGTCGTGGCTTGTGCTGTGTTACATAACATTGCTGTTTCATTTAATGATGCTTAACCAAGGTTGGCAATAGAAGAAGAAGCTGTTAATTTAACAATGCATGACAACAAATATCCCAGAGAACCAAGTTTTGAGGAAGAAATTGATCAACTTTTTCCCAATTAAGTTTGGTGTACGATATCTTACATTTATTCATTTTCCAACGCATGAAAATAAAGATATAGTTATTTTTGGCCAACTTTGTAAGTTTGGTCGAAAATTGGCAAAACGTTGACCAATTTGATCATGCGCATTAGCAAATATATTAATAAATCAATGTTTAGTTAGCTTTTTCAATGAAAAGTTATTAAATTCAAAACTTTTTGTGTGTTTATTTAAACAATTAGTATAATATACATATTATATTCTGTGCAAAACGGCGTGAAAAATGTGCTCGTGTGTCAGTTAATTTAAAAAAAATATTATCTGTGCAATTAAATAGTGTGTTAAGTTTTAAACAACTCACATACCCTTGTTTCCAAAAATTAAAAGATTTTAATATAAACGAGAAAAACCTTCAAAAAATGTTCTAGTAATATTCTTTCATTTTTAATTAATATTTGTAAATACTTGAGATTTGTTTAAATAATTGCCCAAATAACCCAAACTGCTTTGGCATTTTATTGGGCACGATTTGATCGTTTATTGTTGGTCATCGTGATTGCATAAGAAAGGTAGACATTTAAAATCCTATAGGATATATATATATATATATATATATATATATATATATCAGACTGGACCAAATATAATTTGAATTAGCCATTTTAGAACAAGCAAAAACTTTTATAAAGAATGCATTTATCTCGAAAAATGAAAAATAAAAAAGTGTTTCCTCTTATGAAGTCGAATTGGGACATACGGTATATTAGACTGGGTCAAAAAAATCAACTATTTTTTTTTTTTAAAAATATATCGAAAATATGGTTTGGGGCGACAAAAAAAAATATTGTGAAAGTTTGAGTCCATAATATTAATATTAAGAGGTCTATCATCGCAATTTTAATTTTTTTTGCCTCATCAAGTTTTTGTCTCAGAACTCCACCAAACATTTTGATCATTGGAATTTTAAAATTCATGTAAAAATCAGTACCCATAAAAAAACCGATAAATATTCTTATGTGAAATCAAATGCTTTACAAAAAAATCCTCTTAACATTTTTGGCTAAATTCACTCCATCAAAAGTTAAATTTGACAAGAATTTCGTTTTGACTTCAACTTTAACCTTGAATAACTTTTGATTGAGTGAATTTAGCCAAAAATGTTAGGAGGCTTTTTTGTAAAGCATTTGATTTTACATAAGAATATTTATCGTTTTTTTATGGGTACTGATTTTTACATGAATTTTAAAATTCCAAAGTTAAAAGATCAAAATGTAAAACTATACCAATGTTTAGGGCATGATTTTAAGAAAACGGTTCATCTGACGAACAATTTAATTTAACCTTTTTCGTAGAGCATTTAATTTTCTTAAAAAATTATTTTAAGTAAATTTTGTTAAACTCAATGGTTTGGGAGTTCTGAGACAAAAACTTGATGAGGGAAAAAAAAATAAAATTGCGATGATAGACCTCTTAATATTAATATTATGGACTCAAACTTTCACAATAAATTTTTTTGTGGCCCCAAACCATATTTTTGATATACTTTTCAAAAAAAAAATAGTTGATTTTTTTGACCCAGTCTAATATACCGTATGTCCCAATTCGACTTCATAAGAGGAAACACTTTTTTATTTTTCATTTTTCGAGATAAATGCATTCTTTATAAAAGTTTTTGCTTGTTCTAAAATGGCTAATTCAAATTATACTTTTACCAATTTCCCCTCAGTTTCAAAGATGTATCGAAAAATATAAAAATATGTTTAAAATTTTTAAGTTCAAAAAATTATAATGCGTTTCTATGGTAACTTCAACGCGTTTCCATTATTACTTTTTCCCGCTACCATTGACGACGCTACAGTTTTTTTAATTTTTTAAAATATAGTAAAAAATTTAAATTGGCTTCACTTGTCAAAAAGTATAGTGAAGTTGCAGTTACTCCCTCGATAAATTTCTTCACTCGCCTATTGGCTCGTACGGAAACTTTAATCTAGGTATCGAAAATAATTTCCAAGATTAGTTGTAATGACCGTCAATAAGGGAGACTCAGACAAGTCCAAAAGACTACGATTGTTATTTTCACTTGATACTGTAGTAAATAAACACTGAAATGGTAACTGATTAATATTTTAATGAATTTATTATTTAAATAAGCAACAAGAAAAACTCATTTAATACATTCTCCGCCCTTTTCTACACACATTTCTGCTAGTTTGCGCAGTTTCCCGTAACTATTCCGAATCTCTTCAATTGTTATGGATTCTACAGCGTCTCTTATTTTTTGCTTTAAATTGTCTACATTTGGAGGTAGGTCGTTGGCATAAACAATTTGCTTCAATCGACCCCATAAATAAAAGTCTGCGATTGTTAAGTCGGGACTTCTGGCAGGCCATACAACTGGACCGTTCCGCCCAATCCAATTCTGCCCAAATTTATTATTTAACCACTGCACAACTATTTGAGCGAAATGAGCCGGACAACCATCCTGTTGAAAATAACTGCCAAATACGTTTGCTGATTAACCTTATTGTCGAAAAAATACGGTCCTATGATGCCATGATATGAAATTGCGCACCACACATTAGCTTTGGCCAAGTATTGTCGACCACTGGGAATGCGAAAATTCGGGTTGTGATCACTCCAATACCTAACATGCTGAGACGAAACAGTGCCGTTAGTAGAAAATTTAGCCTCGTCGGAGAAAATAATGTTTCGGTGGAACTTCCACCGTGGAAGTATTGATTATTCATGATATCAGCCCCTAACCAAAAGCAAAAATCTAAACGCCTAGCTGAATCTCCAGGTTCCAATATCGGCTTGTAGGGATGAAACTTAATTTTTTTTAAATTCTCTGCAAATGGGATTTGCTGATTCCCAGTTGGAGTGATCTCCTTTTCAAAGATAGTATGGGATTATTTTGTACTGAATCCATAACAAGAATAGTTGCAGCGTCATTTTCATCGTGAACGATCTTGTTTCGTTTTGCATCCACTACCGAACCAGTTTCCAAAAACTTTCTAACTAAATTTTGAGCAGCGTTATTTGATACGTAAATATCTGGATATTTCTCATTGAATTCCTGGACAACTCTACGGTAACTCTTCCATAGCACTGTACCAAATAAATTCTGTGCTCCATCAACATTTCTGAACTAGTTAAACCTAATATTGACCCCTGAGTCGATCTTAACAATATTTTAATATTTAATATCATTACAACTAATCAAAATCCGTAACCATAGAAGCGCATTATAATTTTTTAAACTTAATTATTTTAAAGATATTTTTATATTTTTCGATACATCTTTGAAACTGAGGGGAAATTTGTAAAAGTATAAACTGAATAAGCCATTTTAGAACAAGCAAAAACTTTTATCAAGAATGCATTTATCTCGAAAAATTAAAAATTAAATTTTTTTTTCCTCTTATGAAGTCGAATATATTGTACATTTATTAGCTAAACTTTTTCAAAGGCAAAAGGGCAATTATTGGCCAAGTTTTGACCTGATATGGCTCTCTGCAATACAGGAGAAAGAATAAATGGAAATGAAAATAACCTAACAAGGAACCTTTTGATAACTGGCCACTTTGCACGGTTATCTTAATTTTTTTAATAAAAATGGTATAGAATACATTATAAATTAATTACAAAGGTGTAAGTCGCATAAAAGATATGGTATTTCAGTTATTAATAATTAATTATTAAAAGAAGTTTATTCATGAACCACGAAAAAAAAATATTACATACCTACTTACTTTAAAAACAAAAAAACATAACTCAATTTATCCAATACTTTTCAACACATTAGTCAAATGAAAAAAAATATTTATACTTACGTTTCAAAAGATGAAAAAGTATCGACAATTAAAGTAGACCTTTTCCTTTTTGAAATTCAAATATAAATATAACCTAAAAAAGTTACTAATTTGACATAATGTAGCATGGAGCCTTCCTGTAATTCAGGTTGGTTAACTGTCACTTTCAGTAGAATTCAGGTTAGGTATCTGTCACTTTGAGCATAATTATAATTGAGAAGGTCCATTCCGAAACTCGGCTTATCCACTTTTTAATAAAAATGAGTTAGTGGTATCTGTACATTTAACATGTACCCCCCTCTTCCCTGAAAAGTTCATAATATTCTAAAACTCGACTTTCCATTTCCATTTTAAATTCATTTACAAATTGACTATCGTTCCAAAACTTGCCTTATCTATTGGTTATATCATGCAGAACTCGGCTTATACATTTGTAATTTTAAATTATTTTAAAATGGAGCTACCTATACCTTTTTAATCAAGGTATATAAATGTTTTACTTATGCCTATATATTTCGTTTAAATTATTGTGTTGGCCTGATATGCGTTAGTACTCACGTGTAAGGTTTTTGTATTTTGCTCAAAAACAACTAATATGAATAAGCCGAGTTTTGGAATGCACCTCCTCAATTATAACCTTATAAGGTTTGATATCTGTCACTGACAGTAAAATTGAGGTTATTTATATTATGCAATACGCATCTGATCATCATGCTGTCAAGTTGTCAAATAGCATTTAAATTTTTATTTTAACCGATTTTTTAAACTATTTTTTTTTAATATTAAGAAAAAGTTGGTTCAAAAGACTGACTGATTAATAACCTAGAATTACTTATTTTCCATAACACCCTACATTATTATTTTACCTTTTATTGCTGCCACCAATGCCATAGATACTGCTGTATTGCCTAATGATGGGGCGATTATTGTGTCGCCAGGTTTAAGAGTTTTTGTTCTTTCAGCTTCTTGTATGGCTCTGACAGCGAAACGGTCTTTTTCTGAACCACCGGGATTCATGTATTCACATTTAACATCTTAAAATAATAATGAATAAATTGCAAAATAATAATTTATTTGCATATTGCAGATGTAATAACTAAATAACCAAAGTGCTTTAGCGCCATTTCACAGTGATGGTTGGAAAAATTAAACTCATTTTCCGACATACTTTTAAAGGTAAAAAGGTTAACAGAGTAATTCTCAAAAATTAATAATGTAAATTTGGCTACTAGGTATTAAATGTTTGTTTAATATGACAAAAATAATAATACATATCGTCGTTTATCTGACAAAGAGGCGTAACTCAAAAAAAATCGTTTTTGAGTTATACCAGAATGATCACCAAAATCGACTTTATAATCTCACAAACTGGCGTAGCTCTATAATAAATAGGTACAAATAAAGTTTTAGCATAAATCAGTTTCGGCGTAACTAATATTTTTGCATTTTGTGTGCCGTACAAACTGGCGTAATTCAATTCACACCGTTTTGTTTAAAAATGAGATACGCCTCTTTGTCAGATAAACGACGATATAACGAAGAAACCGTAAGATTAGAAATTACGAGAAAACCAAGTCGGTTTTAGATAAAATAGATTGTGCATCGACCACATATGCACACTAATACTTATTTTAGAAAAAGTAGCTGAACACAATTAAGAAATCCATATAATTTTATCGACTTCAAAAAGGTGTGATAAATTCATGCATGACTCAGTGTGAGGGTAATCTGGAAGACTCACTCTTTTATATAAAAGGCCTTAATGATATTGTTAAGATTAACTAGTAAAAAAGCTACCAATTATTTATATAACCTTTTAAGGACTGTTATGTTCGGGACAGGAAATTGACGGTCTTGGCAAAAAAGAAGTGAACTATATCCAAATTACGGTTTATGGAATTATCATCTTTAATCATAATTTAACATAATGAAACTCAAATAAAATATATAATTATATCAAAATCATTGATAGTAATAATATAATTTAATATTATTATGCGATATGCGTTCCCAGTTAGTATGTATTTTTGATGAAAATACAGTTTGCCTACAAATTGGGTTGAAAAGAAGGGTAAAACAATTTATTTATCTTCAATCAATAATTTAAACATTGTTGTCAACACTCGTCACTAAAATGATTTATTAGAACAATTTATTATTTAATACTGTACCAATATAAAAATTTGACTTTACTTTTTACTTTCAATAATTATTATTATAATTGTACATTTTATGTATCGTTTAGGCCTTTAAACTTTAAGCTTAGCACAAAAAGAGTTCTTGACATAACAAAAATAACTATATTATATTTGTAATTTAATATAATACTGTATATTAAGATAAGTTAAAATATTGAGGTTTAGCTTTAAACAAAGTAATTTTTTTCTTTTTATTATCAAAATTATGATACTTGAACTATGGTTAAAGTATGTATAAGTATAAAGTTTGCATAACAGAAAAACTTTTTTTTCACAAAAACAGAATACCTACTGAAAGTGTATTAAAATTTTAGTAACGAATATCCTTTTCGAGCTAAAAACTTACTCTGATTTATAAATATTTCTTTTAAAATGTCTAAATTGTTAACAGACAAAAGTTCAAAAAGGAAATCCTAATAGGTAATAAATTTAAAACCGTAAGAAAGAATAGATAGGTTTTAGAGACATTACTTACCTGAGTAGGAAGCTTTTAGGTTTAGCCATTTCAAATCCCAAATGATCCATCTCAAAGGCTATTTCAATAAAAAATTTATATCGTGAAAACCATTGTTTTAAGAACCTCTATGGTTATAATGGTTATGCGAATAAAAATTAAACAGGTATTTTATTAAGTCTTATAAACGCCATTGTAGTTACGAGTTTTATTAGGCATGAGCGAAGCTTGCAAGCGAGTGTTTAGTAAAGACGAGTGTCTAGAGAAGTTTATAAAAAGAGTTCCAAAAGCCACTGTTGCTAACTTCAGCCTTGACTAAAACACCATAAAGTCACAGCACTTATCATGAACTTTTATAACTCGCCTATGGCTCGTTAATTTAGTTCCTTATACGTGCAAAAAAGTGGCTTTATATTCAAGTTGCATACATTATTTTTTCTATTACCATAATCATTTCATAAATAATTACTAAAAATGAGAAGAAAAAACGTTGAAATTTACAATTATTATTTTATTTTGACATGTATGTCAAAACTTTTTTGCACTGTCAAAAATGACCTACTTTTGACAATGAAATTGGAAAAAAATTATAATTGGTATTTTTAAAAATGGCGAATGCGCCGGGATACACTAATATTTTTGAATTTTCAATAATCAATATGCTGAGTAATACATTTTGGATTTACAGGAACGATTAATTGTATTTTTAAAAGTGCCTTATTTTAAATTTAACACCGATATTAATTTTTGTTTACAATTAATCATCTGTATGCTATAGCCTAAGAACACACACATTATTGTCAAGATACATACACCTTAAGATAGGATGGTGCGCATGTTGGGCAAGGCTTAAATACGTCAATTGTTGAGTATTTTTAAATCTGTAACGTGCGTTTTAATTATCTGCTGCTAAAATTCTTGTTTTTGTGATGCTGTTGGATGTTAACTTGCTCTATTTTTTGTTTAACTTGTTGTTTTTGCGTTCTTTAAGGTTCGAATTACTTTTCAGTATTCAAATTATTGTTATTTCGTTGTGTTAACCTGTTTTTTTATTTATTATTGTTTTTGTGTTAATTAACTTGTTTTGTTTGAGTTTTAGTTTGTGTCGTGCCATTTGCATTTATTAAAAAGCGGTGTTGCATATTTGAATGCAATTCGGACAACCAGTCCAAGAAAAAACCTTTAAATAAAAACATTAAATTTCATCGATTCCCGAATAGACAATATTAACGTTAAGACCGCTTCTGTTTCCTCTGGACAGTGACTAAAAGTTTAATTTAAAACACCAACTCTTAAACAACAGCCCTAAATGTTTTCAAGGACTGAAAGCATCTATTATCCATATTATAACACTTTGTTCAATATTAAGTTAAATAAAACGCACTATTTCCAGTATTTCTTTATTTTCCTTGATAATATTACTATTATTCGTGTATTCGCCCGGCAACTACTCATCAAGTGACGTCATGCGCGGCACGAACCAAAACTCGTCCACGGGAGCATCCAGCCCTGCATTATTGTATATGTATCCATGATGCTATGTGATCTTTTAAATACACATTGACAAGCTGTGTCTTTATTGCGGTTTAGTAACTATTTTCTAGAAGCGTGCAAAAAGTTGCACACTTCCGCACGCTCGATAGTGCGAAAATTAAATGCGTAGCAACTTACCGGACGCTTGTATAAAACATTTATACCATATGTGCTTTCTCCACCTGGTCTAAAATGTACTATTAGTATAAAAACGTTTGGGAAATTTTATACTATACAAAACGTATTAATAAGGTAGAACAATTCCGCGCGCGCGGAATAGTTTAATATTAAAACGCTCGGTCAATGTTATAATTAACTAATTAACATTTCGGTATTTAAAAAAAAATAAAAATTATAAATTATTTGCGATTTTGCGATTTTAGCACTAATTGTGTAATAATTTATTACACTACTTTGGTTGCTAGCACAAATGCGCTAAAAATGCCTTTTTGAGGTAATTTTTTTCGTGTTACTAAATTAGAACTAATTGCATACGTGCGATTTTTATTTTTCAGCAATAATTTTGACGCATGTGTGCTAAGTTAAGTCTAAAGTCAGCGCCTACTTATGCTCATTTCTGAATAGATAAATTAATTTTTCGGAATTTTGTAATTATCTGCAATAAATTAACACTATATATTTGACTCCTGGATTAAATATTACGCTTGCAGACTCACTTGTAATTAAAAGAATAAGGGTAATAAATTTGGTTTTTGAGTACTAAATAGGCCTGAATTTGATACTCTTCTTTTTTATGTGTTAAACAAATATTTTGCTAATTTAAGGACCTCAAAAAACATAGCCATGCAAATCCCATTAAAATCTGCCTACATTTTTTATAGTAAAAAATCTTATTTAAATTTAGGTTTTTTTATATTTTATCTACTTTTACATTGACGAGCTGTGACATTATGGTATTTTAGTCACGGGCCGAAGTTAGGTTTATTATAAATCAGGGAAAAGTGAGGTTAAATCTGTTCAAAGATGACATATGTCAAATATGTAACAAATAAAATTGACTTTAAATTCTTCTTTGTGTTCGTCGTAGATAAAGTATACTTAGTATGCAACTCGTTTTATAAACTTCTCTACACACACTTTTTTATTAAACCCTCGCTCGCAAGCTTCGCTCGTGCCTAATAAAACTCGTAACTAAAATGGCGTTTAGAAAACTTGATACATAATATACTATTTTTATTTGTTTGATTGTTTGATTTTTTTGAAAAAAAATATTTTAAGTAGGTACTTTAAAAAGATATTAAAAAGTAACAAAATGAATACCCTGTAGAATATCATCTGTCTGTGTTAAACATATACGCATATTTTATATTGTTTGGCCGAGGATATGCTTATTTACAAAAACCTTCATTGCCAGTTTGTTACGTGTCTAGGTAACAATCACAAAAAGAATAGTGTTTAATAAATTTGAATTTGAATTTGAAATTTCAAGTTATATTATTTTGGAATAATATGTATATGTAATAAAAATATATCCAAAACCAAATTTGATTTTTTATAAACATAATTCTCGATAAAATTCTAAATAGTATTTTAGTAAAAACAGGTAAATTAAGCATTTCTTACACATTTCACACTGAATTCCTGCTGATTCTGGTATTTTGTTCAGTTTTATTATTGGTGTATTTCCTACTAAGCGTGTCACACAATTATGAACCTTATCTTCATTTTTCCTTATAAAAAATATTTTTTTTTTATTTTAATTTGGTACATATTTATAAATACCAGTCAATTTTGATATGTGGTGAAGTTTCAGGATCTGCATCGGCTGCCCAGGTGCATTTTGAAACGGTTTCTGCTTCATCCATTATAAAAGAGTATCCCTCACAAAATAAATATAAAAAATTTCAAAATGACATGTTTTGACTTTTACGTAGGTATACCAGACAACAAATTATTTGCTTTTTTGACAAAATTTACAATTGTTTTTTATCTTTGAAATTTTTTTAAACGAAGTATTTACAATCATACCAGGAAGGGGTTGGGAAATTGGTACAATTTATTGAAATAACTTTTAATAAGCATATATGTATACACTTTCAATTGGATATTTAATTTCTATTCTATCGTCAGATTTACACTACTGGGGCACTATCCTCGAACGCTCGGCACAAAAAGGCACAAAAATAGTCTTCTCATAATTAAAGTATGAAATAAACATTTTTTATTGTAATATTTCTAAATATCTAACACTGCATTTATTGCACTCCCAGATTTCGTTGTGGATATACCTACACTAGACATAAATGTTCTTTTGAACAACTTAAATAAATTTCCTGAGATACTGTGCTTAACTGAACACTGGTGCACAAGGGAAGAACAAAATTATGCAACAATAGAAAATTATAAATTAATCTCCAACTTCTGCATAATAGCACAAAATCGTGGAGGATCTATTTATTTATTTATGTTAAAAAATAATTAAAAATAACCAGAATGCATCAGAACTTAAACAAATGAACGAAAAAGGTATTATGAAGTTTTCAAGTGTATTTAGCAAAAATAAAAAAAGTAAGAATAATAGGCATTTATAGATAGATTTCAAAAGGTTTTTTTCAAAAATTAAAAAGCTTCTTAAAAATCTAACAAAATGGTTTTACAACTACAAAATTGCCATTTGCGGGGACTTTAATTTAAATTTATTTGAGAAAGATAAAACCACTTAATTATTTATAGACATATTGAAATCTTATAACTTTTATCAAACTATATTTAAAGCCACAGAATTAATAAAATTTTTGTTAATTTCGAGAATTCGTCCAAGGTGAAGTCATTGTATCGGTGCTCTCTGATCAACATGCTCAACTACTGGAAATTTCTGAAAAAAAAATTAAATCAATACAAAAGACTTTTTACAAGCAGAAAAAATGGTAAACTTGGTATACTAGGAAGAATTGAAATTGCAAAGCTGGGCACAAGTTTATAATTGTGATGATTTAAATACTGCTTATGACCTATTTAATAAGAACAATTAATAAAATATTTATTTAAAAAGTCATAAAAGAAAATTTTAAAAAACGAATTGAACAAAACACACTTTATACGCAAAAAATTAATGGTAAAATAAGTCTTGAATTCTATAAAAAATATTGTTAAATCTTAAAAAAAGTAATTTATTCACATAAGCTTAAATCTGATATCATATTATGTATCAAGTGTGATAAACGCCATTTTATACACGAATTTAATTTAGGCACGAGCGATCTTGCAAGCGAGTGCTTAAATTAATGAGTGTATAGAAAAGTTTATAAACGAGGTGCATACTATACTTTTTCTACGACAAATACTTATTATTAGCCTAAAACGATTTAAATCAAAAATTTGTATAGAGCGCCATCTATGAAACGATAGGGGAATCTGTGTGTCACCGTCAAATGTCACATTTTTATATTTTATAAACACAGATTATAAAGGTTATAAGTCGAAATGTATTTCTTGAAAATTGACAGTTTTTCACAGTAAAGTAAAGAAACATGTACGATAAATGGCGTTTTAAAGGTGGGAGTAGCAAAACTATTTTTTCCACTCCCACCTTTAAAACGCCCTTTATCGTAAATGTTTCCATGACACTAAGTGACCTTTTAAATACACATTGACAAGTTGTGGCTTTATGGCGCTTTAGTCACGGTCTGAAGTTAGTTTTAAGTTAATTGACAGTTGTCAAATGTCATACAATCGTTAAAATAGAGTGCCTTTCGTGAAAATAATTTTATTATCTCAATACATAAATACAAAAATATTAAATAGTTTCTCATCGCCAATATTTGAAAAGTTTATATGAACATTGTACTGACCTTTTAATTTCGCCGGCAGTAAACTATAACTTAAATTCGGGCACGGACTTTACTGTAAAGTCCTCATAAAACATTTTCTTTACTTTCACTGTGAAAAACTGTCAATTTTCAAGAAATAAATTTCGATTTATAACCTTTATAATCGTGTTTAAAAAATGTAAAATACACAGTTTCCCCTATTGTTTCATAGATGGCGCTCTATACTAATTTTTGATTTAAATCATTTTAAGATAATAATAAGTATTTATCGTAAAAAAAGTATAGTATGCACCTCGTTTATAAACTTTTCTATACACTCATTAATTTAAGCACTCGCTCGCAAGCTCGCTCGTGCCTAAATTAAATTCGTGTATAAAATGGCGTTTATCAAACTTGATACATAATATACTATTATTTGTTCCCGCAGGTTTTCATGATGAAAATTTTATAATAGCATAATTTAAAAACTAAAAATTTTGTACTGTTCATACATCGTACTATCAATCTTTATTAAATTTACTCACGTTGACCAAAAGAATTAACGAATTAACTGAACTATTTTGAAGTTAAGTAGTTAGTCATAAACTTTTCGTTTAACTATGTTATTTGATATTTCTATGGAAATACAAAACCATCTCATTTGAATTTTATGGTTGCCCTATTGAAATCGAGCAGAGAGAAAAGTGGTTTTTCGATTTCCGACTGGGGATTCAGTTCACACCTCTGATCTAACCAAAATAACAGGCCATCTGCTAAAAATGTAACAAAAGCAATCTTTTATAACTGGCTGGAAGTCAGGTTATACTTTTAACTTTTACCATTGTACAACAAATGTCAAAACGCACAGTGATCCCTAAAACTAAACAATTTAATTTTTTATCACTATGTTTAATAATATTTGAAGGTGGATTAAACATGTTATTTTAAAAATATTTTGTAGAGAAACTAGCTCAAAAACTATACCAATATTGATTTTGCTACTTTGAATTTTAATTTAACTTAATTTCGCGCTTTTTAATTCCTCACTCAACGGTAATATATTGTAATGTAATGTATTGTTCGTAGCTATATAAAAGGGATTTAAGGCCGATGATTATAATTACAACCTAATACTTTACTAGTATTGTGGAAATGAAATATTACCACAACTAAATATTTTTATTATCAAGTAAAAACTGTTGTTAAATACTTTTACTAAAATTTTCCACAATTTTGACAAAAATAATTTTCTTGGGTTTTTTGTGAACTAAAATGACACAGCGTATTTTAATTTATTTTTTCTACTCCCACCTTTAAAACGCCCTTTATCGTACATGTTTCCATGACACTAAGTGACCTTTTAAATACACATTGACAAGTTGTGGCTTTACGGCGCTTTAGTCATGGGCTGAAGTTAGCAACAGGTTTTTAGTCACGGGCTGAAGTTAGTTTTAAGTTAGTTGACAGTTGTCAAATGTCATACAATCGTTAAAATAAAGTGCCTTTCTTGTAAAATAATACTAAATGTGAAACCTATTTTATTATCTCAATACAAAAATACAAAAATATTAAATAGTTTCTCAACGCCAATATTTGAAAAGTTTATATGAACATTGTACTGACCTTTTAATTTCGCCGGCAGTAAACTATAACTTAAATTCGGGCACGGACTCTACTGTAAAGTCCTCATAAAACATTTCCTTTACTTTCACTGTGAAAAATTGTCAATTTTCAAGATATATTTCGATTTATAACCTTTATAATTGTGTTTATAAAATGTAAAAATGTGACATTTGACAGTTTCCCCTGTTGTTTCATAGCTGGTGCTCTATACAAATTTTTGATTTAAATCATTTTAAGATAATAATAAGTATTTGTCGTAGAAAAAGTATAGTATGCACCTCGTTTATAAACTTTTCTATACACTCATTAACTTAAGCACTCGCTCGCAAGCTCGCTCTTGCCTAAATTAAATTCGTGTATAAAATGGCGTTTATCAAACTTGATACATAGTATACTATTTTCTACTCCCACATTTTAAATGCCCATTATCGTACATGTTTTCATAACTTATTGACAAGTTGTGCCTTTATGAAGTTTTATTCACGAGCTATAGTTAGTTTAAAGTTAGTTGTTAAATGTCATACAACCGTTAAAGTACAGTGCCCCTTTTGTAAAATAATACTAAATTTAAAAATTATACTCCCACCTTTAAACGCCCATTATCCTATATGTTTATATGACACTAAGTTACTTTTAAAATAAACATTGACAAGTTGTGGCTTTATAGCGTTTTAGTCACGGGCTGAAATTTGCTTTAAGTTAGTTGACAGTTGTCAAATGTCATACAATCGTTATAATAATACTAAATGTGAAAATTATTTTATTATCTTAATACAAAAATACAAAACCATTAAATAGTTTCTCAACGTCAATATTTGAAAAGTTTATATAACATTGTACTGATCTTTTAATTTTTCGGGCAGTAAACTTGATATTACTTAAATTCAAGCTCGGACTCCACCGTCAAGTGCCCATAAAACATTTTCTTCACTTTTACTGTCAACAACTGTTAATCCATTTTCAAGGGATACATTTCGATACACATACAAATTTTACATTTGACGGTAACACAGATTCCCCTATTGTTTTATAGATCTCGCCTTATACAAAAATTTAATTAAAATCATTTTTAGATAATAATAACTATTTGTCGTAGAAAAAGTATAATATACAACTAGTTTATAAACTGTACTAGACACTCATTAATTTAAGCACTCGCTTGCAAGCTCGCTCGTGCTTAAATTGAATTCGTCTCTAAAATGGCGTTTATCAAACTTTATACATAATATACTAACTATATACCAATATTTAAAATGTTTATATGAACATTGTACTGACCTTTTAACTTTCGCCGGCAGTAAACTGGATTTAACTTGATCTCGGGTGGAGACTCCACCGTGGAGTGCCATCGTGGAGTGCCAGACCAAGTATACCTTTCCGATGGTGTTTGACGCGTTGAATTCGAATCCAGAATTTCTCCATCACGTCAGGTTTTCTAGTCAGGAAATTCT